TTAAGTATTCGAAAATTTCTTGAAGCCAGGAATATGCTCACATTTTCAGAAAATCTTTCGGGAAGAACTGTTTAACATGGTGATTATATATGGGATTTAAGAGATGCTTGATAATAGCCACTTAAATTCATCATTGGATGATTCACATGAACAGCTATCCAAATGTGCTGAGTTCATCAATTTTATAGTTATAATGAATAAATTGCAGTCTATCGTTTTTGACATTATGGCAGTTCTCGAACTGTATATTCCTGTACGGTAGTTCAACTGGTCCATTTGTGTGCAAAGTTGTGGTACGTCTTTTAGCATTATTGAATATTACGTTTTTGTATCGATTAATGAGATGAGGCTTGAAAAGAACAAACTTTTGCACTGTTCAAGAAATCAAGGTAAGAGAATCAGTATCATTCCTTACTCAATTACTGTTGAGCTGTTTTCCGCTTGCAATACCACAGCAATTTGGTGATTGCTGATCAATCAGTCTTTTTCAGGGTGATCAAGTGTTCTTAGCCAACTTACCGTGGGCAAAAGTACAAGACAGCGATAAAGCAGCGGCAGAGGAATACATGAAACGATACGACAATTGCATGAATGTATTATTCCGATTTAATTAATTCATCTAATTTGAACTTCTGTTATAGTCAAATCCGTCCGAGCAAGTTTCGGGCCAATATGAACTGCTTCTGACGTGATCATGATACCGAATAACTAATGAACAATGAAAATTATTCACATTTGCGAACATGGCCTTCTCATTCATGTTTTTCTTCTGAAGTTTTAAAAAAATCAAAAGTTTAAAATCACTGAACTGATGAGTTCAGGTGGTCCATCAAATGACGCCAGATTGCTTGAAACCACCCGAGTTCTGTTCACCATCTGTCGACAAAATGTTCAACTTTGCCGGTTGTGTCGTCCTCGTTAGTTGTTTCACTCATTTGTTCAAATTCTCAGAACTAATTCAACTTCTGGAGAGAAGAGATTGCATGCAAAGGAATATGAGTTCAGTGCAATCAATCAAGACTGGAATATCACGACTCTGAATTTTTCAATGCAAAATGCGCCAGTTCCTCTCAGGATTGCAAACCGGTGCTGAGTACCATAGCGTTCATGATCAGCATTCACTCATTTCAGGGTAACAAAGTGTTCTCGGACATGAAGTACCTTCACGATCTAACGCCTGATCAACAGACTCAACTGAATGGTTTCATCGAAAAGCAAAAAGAATATGATGCTGCTCAGACGAAATTCCAAACCGATAACGCAAATAATCCTGAATACGTTAGTAGTCAAAGCATCCGTTTAAGCTTTCAAATACTTTTAACATTTGTCATTGTTCACAAGACACTA